GGGTCGATGGTCATCGATAATGGCCGACGACTACGGATGTCGAGAGATATCGTTGTGACTTCAGACTTAAACAATATTAAAAATACTCCTTCTCCTTCCCCTCTCAAGTGAAAAGAAGAGATTTATTTATAGACCCATAATAAGGGAAATTTTTGTCATTTAGCAAATAACGACCAAAACCACCCGATCGAATGACCCACGTTAATTCTTCTAATCATAAAAAGTTTTCAGATGATGTGATGACCTTAGTATTAGGTGATCTAGGACTCATTGGATTTCTTTTATCAAGATACTCAATTTGACCATATTTACGTCCAATTTGAAGCCTATTTGACCCTCCAACTAACCGCTTGAATTCTTCAAAAGTGGTTTAATAGCTTGATACAGGCTTAATTCAACCCATATTGAATCAATTTCAGTATCTCTGGATTCCTCTTATCTAGCTGGTCAATTTTCAGTGTCTCTGGATTAATAGCTGGTCAAATTATATATATATATATATATATATATATAGATAGAGAGAGAGAGAGAGAGAGAGAGAGAGACGTTAGATGAGTCATCAACTAAATTGATCATTTTTCGAGCTTTGATTTCAGCGAAGGGCTCAAGTTCGAGTTGGATATAAATAACTAATAATATGATCGCACCAAGTCCAAACCAGAACATGCCTTGCTTTGTTACGACCCCATTTATATCAAACCAGCAATATGAATCATAAGAAGGGAATGCCTTTGCTTTAATCACAGATTAAAAAAAATGCACTTTAATGCCAATTTAGAGTAAAAGTAATTATATTTTAGTAATTATATAAATGATTTATATGGATCTTTTTGCTTGATTTCTCATGGTAATACTTTTTTAAAAAAGCTGATTTGAAGAAACTTAACGTTGAACGAACTCTCGAAGTTTACGTTCGCTTATCTTCTAACGGCTAATGTCCCCGCGATTAAGATCCGACAGGAAAAGCCTAGTCCTCCTAGGAACATGTCTCAATCGCCTTCACCGCTCCTCCGGCGAACTCAAGCAAATACACGCCCACCTCCTCATCTCCGGCGGAATCTTCGATCCCTTCGCCACCGGAAAACTTATCTCCTCCTTCAGCGCCGTCGACCTCAACCACGCCCTCCTCCTTTTCCGCCACCTCCCCCATTCTCCCTCCACGTTCCTCTGGAACACCCTTATCGGTGCCTGCACCGGCCGCAACCAACCCCTTATCGCACTCTCCCTCTTCTCGCAAATGCTCGCAGCCGTCCGCCTCCCCAACAACTACACCTTCTCCTTTCTCCTTCGCTCTTGCATCTCCATCTCCTCTCTCTTCGTCGGTCAACAAATTCACGCCCAGATCGAGAAGTTGGGGTGGGCTGACTACGATTTCGTAATGAATGGTCTTCTTCATTTATACGCTACCTGTGGCCGCATCGGCGACGCGCAGAAGCTGTTCGACGTGTGCCACCACCCAGATGTCGTCACTTGGAGTGCCATGGTTAATGGATACGTAAAGGCTGGACAGATTGGTGTTGCGAGGGGGCTGTTTGATGTGATGCCTGAGAGGAATGCTGTTTCATGGAGCACCATGATAACTGCTTATGCAGCCATTGGGATGTTTCATGAGGCTTTGGATGCGTTCAATGAGATGCAGGTTGCGGGGCTGGAGCCTAACCATGCTGGACTTGTGGGAGCTCTCTCAGCTTGTGGTTTTCTTGGTGCTTTGGATCAGGGCAAGTGGATTCATGCTTTTGTGGAAAGGAATGGAATGGAATTGGATAGGATTCTAGGGACTGCACTGATAGACATGTATGCTAAATGTGGATGCATCGATAACGCTGATCGAGTGTTCGGTGAAATGACTGAAAGGGATGTCTTTGCTTATACAGCGATGATATCAGGGCTTTCAAATCATGGTCTGAGTGAGAAGGCGATTGAGATGTTTGCTCGGATGGAAGCCGAGGGAGTGAAGCCTAACGCAGTGACATTTATATGCATCTTGAGCGCCTGCGGCAGGCTAGGTTTAGTTGAGTTGGGGAGGCATTTCTTTGAAAGAATGAGCAGGGTTTATGGAATTGAACCAGGAGTGGAGCACTATGGTTGCTTGGTGGATCTTCTAGCCAGGGCTGGATTGATTGATGATGCACGAAGGTTGATAAGGGAGATGTCAATGGAGCCTGATTCTTATGTGTTGGGTGCCTTGCTCAATGCTTGCAGAGTTCTTGGGGAGGTGGAGGTGGGAAAGGAGATTGTTGAGAGCCTAATGGAATTGGGGCTCGATCATAGCGGTGTTCATGTGCTACTTTCGAATATGTATGCATCTTCTTTTCGGTGGGAAGAAGTGAAGAACGTGAGGAGAGTGATGGAGGAAAATAAGGTTAGGAAAGTGCCTGGATGTAGTATGATCGAGGTTGATGGTGTGGCTTGTGAGTTTGTTGCTGGAGACCGATCTCACCCTTGTATGGATAAGATTATTGTAGCTATGAAAGGCATGGACAAGCAACTAAAATCCTTTGGTGATGACAAACACTTAATTCATTTTGTAAATCTTTGAAGAATTGAAATTCTAATAGGATTGGGAGGTGAATGTGTCTTTATTGATATAAGGTATTTGCAACTTTGTTGATTTGCTTTGTTTGGACTGATGGATTGGGTTATATGGTCATTTTTGAAACGAAGAAGAGGCGTCGAATGCTGAACCCATAAATTCTGCAAAGTTATTTTGGGCATTTACATGCACGCAATTCTCATGTATTTACATATCTACACCTAGACTTTCATATTTATACACATAGCACTCAATTTTTTACTGTCACATAAAAAATAGTACTATTATCACCTTTTAAAAGTGAAAATTCATTTTCATTTATAGGTTTAAAGCACCAATTGCTATGTATGTAAATATGAAAAATTGATATGATACATGTAAATACGTGAGAATCGTGTGCTACTTATGTCAATTTCCCCCGTTATTTTTGGGTTATTGCTACTTGCTAGATTGCCCAGATGCTTCAGGATTGTCAAGGAAAATCCAGTAGAATGCTAGTGTTAGAGATAAATTTATTGCCTCCTTGCTTTATGCTCTCCACAATAGACAAATCAGCTTTTCATCTCAATGGCCCATGCATAGTCATATTGTATCATTTAAAATTTTGAGGTGGAGGAAATGTCCTAGATGAAGCTGGAGTTGAAGGTTAGATCCTAGCTGACATTGAGTCAAACTGTTGAGGTAATAACTTTGCAATTTTTTCTCATTGAAATGTGAAAAAAATTTATAGCTTCACCTTGTTCCGTGTAATTCAGATTTCTGGAGGCAGCTTGTGCCGGGAACTCTAGTTTTTCACATGGAATTTTGGCTTGCAGACACCATTTTGACATCCTAGTAAGAGCAGTATTGAATTTTGTCAACTTAGGGTCTCTTTAAGGTAACTGTAATTGTTTGAAGAAACAACTGTGAAATTGTTGAAGAGGGAGGAAGCTGATGTCTAAAAAGCTGCGATGGCTATTACAATCTTTTTTTTCTTTTGAAAAAATCAGACCGCAACTTTCAAGCATCTGTCGTAGGTAGTCAGGTATGGTAAGAAAACGCAGCTATTAGCTGCAACTTTTTGAGAACACAGACAAAATACAATTTTGTCAAACAAAAAAAACTGCAGTGCGGTACTAAATCGTCACTGTACCACCACTCCAAACACACCCTTATTGTTGTAATTTTGATATCTAACTTAATCTTTGTTGTTACTATTATCTTTGAACAGATCAGATGAATTAACAACTGAACTGGGAAATTTGCAGGGAGCTTGGAATGAAAGCTGTTTTTTTGGGTTCTTTTCTTGGTCAGTAGCTTCTTGGCATCAGGTACAATATACATGAAATATACAAATACGAATAAACCTAAAAATGCTCACAATTTAATTAATGTATTTTGATAATTTTGTCTCTTCTATTAAAGGTACAAATTAAATGTTATAAAAAGATAAAGAAATTAATTTTTAAATACATGCAGCTGTCTCCTTAAAAACTAAAAGTATTTTGCTTCTTTTTGCTTTTTTTTTTGTTTGTTTGTTTGTTTTTGAATTGATTTGTTTATGCATCTATAAATTAATTTTATATATGTGAATTATTGTATTTATTAGTGTATTATTATATGTATAATTTAATCAAAATTTTATTGATTTGTGAACTGAATTAAAGCTAATGAATCATGTGGATTAAACTGAGATAACTAAGCTAATCTATGGCCAAATTTAATCAGCTCAAAGTCATAGTTTCGAGCCCATCTTGTGTTTGGGTGGGAACAACACTTTTTTTTCTTTTGAAAACATCAGACCGCAACTTTCAAGCATCTGACGAAGGTAGTCAGGTATGGTAAGAAAACGCAGCTATTAGCTGCAACTTTTTGAGAACACAGACAAAATACAATTTTGTCAAACAAAAAAAACTGCAGTGCGGTACTAAATCGTCACTGTACCACCACTCCAAACACACCCTTATTGTTGTAATTTTGATATCTAACTTAATCTTTGTTGTTACTATTATCTTTGAACAGATCAGATGAATTAACAACTGAACTGGGAAATTTGCAGGGAGCTTGGAATGAAAGCTGTTTTTTTGGGTTCTTTTCTTGGTCAGTAGCTTCTTGGCATCAGGTACAATATACATGAAATATACAAATACGAATAAACTTAAAAATGCTCACAATTTAATTAATGTATTTTGATAATTTTGTCTCTTCTATTAAAGGTACAAATTAAATGTTATAAAAAGATAAAGAAATTAATTTTTAAATACATGCAGCTGTCTCCTTAAAAACTAAAAGTATTTTGCTTCTTTTTGCTTTTTTTTTTGTTTGTTTGTTTGTTTTTGAATTGATTTGTTTATGCATCTATAAATTAATTTTATATACATGAATTATTGTATTTATTAGTGTATTATTATATGTATAATTTAATCAAAATTTTATTGATTTGTGACCTGAATTAAAGCTAATGAATCATGTGGATTAAACTGAGATAACTAAGCTAATCTATGGCCAAATTTAATCAGCTCAAAGTCATAGTTTCGAGCCCATCTTGTGTTTGGGTGGGAACAACATAAGATCAAACTATTTTTGCTCAGTCTCATGAATCAATGTCTCTCTTAATTTCTAATAAAGGTTCAGTAGCTTCTTGGCATCAGGTACAATATACATGAAATATACAAATACGAATAAACTTAAAAATGCTCACAATTTAATTAATGTATTTTGATAATTTTGTCTCTTCTATTAAAGGTACAAATTAAATGTTATAAAAAGATAAAGAAATTAATTTTTAAATACATGCAGCTGTCTCCTTAAAAACTAAAAGTATTTTGCTTCTTTTTGCTTTTTTTTTTGTTTGTTTGTTTGTTTTTGAATTGATTTGTTTATGCATCTATAAATTAATTTTATATACATGAATTATTGTATTTATTAGTGTATTATTATATGTATAATTTAATCAAAATTTTATTGATTTGTGACCTGAATTAAAGCTAATGAATCATGTGGATTAAACTGAGATAACTAAGCTAATCTATGGCCAAATTTAATCAGCTCAAAGTCATAGTTTCGAGCCCACTTGTGTTTGGGTGGGAACAACAGAAGAGCAAACTATTTTTGCTCAGTCTCATGAATCCATGTCTCTCTTAATTTCTAATAAAGGATAATTTTAAGCTTTACATATGATTTGATGTAAATTTATCTTCTTATACATGATTAAAAAAAGAAAAATTTACATACATATTACTCATATTTACATGTCTAAAACCTAAACTTAACTTTTTACATATAGATAAAAGTGCCAGAAAGTGTCCAAAACTATTTATATGTGGTCATTTTAGTGCCAGAGTTTATAGATGTGTCAAATTAGTTTCTAGACTCTTTAAATTGAAGCAAAAATAATTCATATGGAGAAATATTTGAGCCCCAATTTAATAAATTTGGGGGCCAATTTCACACTTTTTATAAACAACGGGACTGAAATGACCCATATAAATAGTCAAGAAACATGTTTGATACTTTGCTCTTTGCATGTATGGAAGATCGAGTTAAAATAGTGGTATTTTTTATGTGATATGAAACATTTGGCCGGTAGAAATGTAATAAAGTAAAGTTTAGGTTAGGATGTGTAAATAGATCAGAATTCGGTGTTAGGTATGTAAATCGCCTTAAAACAATAATCAAATTCATTACTTATAACAAAATTGCATGCTCATCTCATAATCATAATTATTGCATTAAAATTAAATTTTAAAAGGTAAATTAATTCAATTAATTTTTTGTTTCCTCAGACTCAAATTATTGGTCCTGATTTATGAAATAAAAAATAATCTCGTGCTAACATAAAAATATTTGATTGCGGTAATTTTTTTTATTTATGATATTTATTATGTTGATTATATATAAACAGCTTAACAAGTATGTAGAAAATTATTATATATTCATATATTTAATAATTTAATTTTACTATTTGTTGAATCTTTAGGATATAAGGTCTCGTATAGTTCATGAACCCATATAATTTATGATAGATCTTGTGAGGTGAGTGAAGTCTCACTCCCGTTGATCCATATATTTTCTTCTAGATCACTCCCTATGTTCTTGCCCTTACAGGGCTACAGAATATTAGAAGAATAAAAAGTAATTTGTCGATCATATTATATGAGGCCTGTTGAGATTTGTATTTGATAAGATATTATTATGGGTGTCAAAAGACTCATAAATGAACATAGATAATGATGGGTCTAAAATGATTTCCTTCTGTTGTGTAGGTAACTTTTGAGGGATCGCTCAATGAACTTATAAGTGTAGCTCGATAAATGCAGGCGAGCTCGATGGATGGACTCGTTGAGTATCAGCGACCTCATGAGGAGGAGGTCTCTTGAATAGCGATGAGCTCATTATAGGAGCTCACCAGATCCTTTTGAGAGGCAAGTCTTATAATTATAACATTGATGAATGTGATTGACAAATACAATCTACTTGCTCCCAAGCCTCAGGTGGGCGATAATTGGCTTGATTTATTAGGCCTGGAAGACACATCTAACATTTGGTCTTCCCTAATATTTTAAAAAATCTATTTTTGAATGTACACTATTTTTATGTATAACAAATTAATATCCAAATTATGCTAATATATATTGATGCGTGCTAGAAAATTCACGATGGTAGAGTAATGAATTATCGGCTTAGCGATGCACGAGAATTCAAGACACACTTAGATAAAAAAAACAACAACCAGTAGTGACACCAGAAGTTCTTACGTGGAAAACGCGTAAAAGGGAAATATCATAGGGTCTGACCCAATTATAAAAATTCACTGTAAGTTGATGATTACAGAGACTTCATTATCCCACATGTGGGAAAATGTTACAAAGTTTTCTTAATTACAACTTCAAGGTGCAAATGAACTCGTTGTAAAAAGTGGGCGACAACTAATATTGATCAGTAGAGGATAGCAGGTGGTGGTTGACGACGGTTGGTGCTGGTCAATAGTGGCATGCGATAATTGATGGCGATCAAAGGTGGTTAATGGCGATCGACGGTGGCAGAAGTGGAGCTGGACTTAAGCTCATTCTCAAAGTTTCAAGTTTTTTCTCAAGTCACAAACTCTCCTCCCCCCTTATGAGAGGATT